GGGACTGTAAAGGATAAAATAAACTTTTTATAACTTCATGCAGATAAAGCCATACGGGAATAGCTGGTGTCATTTTAAAAGCTGACAATTGTATATTACGAGTAGGTAACGTTTGGTTTATTTCGTCTTGTAAAATGTTTTAAAATAATAAAGATAGCCTAAACTCAGTTTGAAAATGGCTTGGTAGTAAAGATTTAATATTTCAGAAGCGGCGGCGAGCTGGTTTACTTAGCCGCGCTAAGTCGACACACATAAAATATTAACTACTCGCTATTCTACAGAAAGCACATAACTCGGTATAAAGTATGAAGTAATTAGGATAGCTGGTAACCTTATTTTTGTCAAGAAATATATCATAGATGGTTGTTTTTCGTATGTTTAGACAATTTTAAGATGAGTCAAACTAACAGATATTTTTTTTTATATAACATGAGGTGGCAAACGAGCAAGCGGCCACTAGAATCCGCCAAAATGGCGAAGCGACCGTTGCCCATAGACATCCGCAATTGCAAATGCTTTGCCTACCCTTATACGACGTAGGAGGAGACGCACATAAAGAGGATATTTCCCCTTCCTATTCCTTCTCCTCCACCGTCAAATCCACTTCCCCTTCCCAACCTCTCCTTATAAGAAAAGAATGTTAAAGAGAAAGGGACTTAAATTAGGCCTGTGGCAAAAATACTTGAAAATCGAAACATACTTCAAAGAAAGATCTTCTTTGAAGGACAGGCTAAAAACCAGCTCCGCATGGCTTAGGTCATGCGGTCCACGCTGAGCCTGCAGCCCATTGTTGTCGATTTAACATTATTTTTTTTATTTAGCTCATAAGAAACTGTTTTTGTGACAACAATAAAAGTATTTTTTTTTCTTTGTTTCATATGGATGATAAACTTATTATAATCGCGATCCTTATACGACATACGCTTTTATAAAAAAAAATCTACAACTCATTCTCGGATCAGAATAGGATTAATATATATTTTAACTCCCGATTAAACGTTGTCGTATTTGAATTTTTGAGAACTAGAAGTTAATTATGATTTAATTGAAATATATACATATAATAATAAAGTTAAACAACTTTGAGACGTTAAAAAATCGATTTTGTTTTTCTAGATTTTTCTAATATTTGAGAATACGTAAGATCTGAAGTAAACAAGAATTTTCCAGCTTATTTTCCACCACGTCGTGTCCAGTGTACGGAAATAGGGCCACGCCCTTAGGGTAATGTGCTCATGAATATGTTTTCTTTAGGCTTTATAAAATACGGAATGAAACATCTATGATGAGGTTGTAAATTTAATAAACTTACAAAATATCCTGTATTTGTGTAATTAAAAAAATGGTTCCTTTGTGTTATTCGTATTGTAGTTATATCTAAGGTGTTTTGAGAAAGACATTGGTTTCGAACATAAATTAAAATTAAATATATACGAGGCATAGTGAATAAGATATTTCACCGGTACTTTCTCTGAAAGGTATTATATCAGCTGTCAAGTTTAGTATGTCACCTCTGTCCTTGTATTCACATGTAATAAAACATTTTAGAAAATCATGATAAGCTCCTCTTTTGTTACAAAATAAACAAAACAGTGCTATTTATTAAGAAAATAGACAGACGTTAGTGATGAATATGTGAAAAAATTTCAAGTGAAGTGTGAACTATGCCTCTTCTATATCTTTAAGTCTCTTTGCTATCTTTAATCTACCAACATAACAAACATATAAGGATTTGGTGAGGATTTGTAATTGTACACGATCCCTAAATTAGTGTAAGTATGTAGTTTTATTCAAATAGATAATTGTTATTAGTAAGATTGCAACAGCGGACAAGGGCGTTAAACAAACAACTTTGACTTAACCTTTGTTAGGCTGCTGGTAGTTACGTTTGGAATTAAATTAAAACATACCTCATTTTAAATTCAACAAAATGTACATGTCTATTGGCAATAAAAAAATAAATGTCTTATTTCTTTAATCTGAATTTCTAATTTTTTAATTAAAAAATATGTCTGTTATTGAGGAAGTACGAGGTACATAACACTCACAACATTTTAATAATCTCCTTCTTTTATAACACAAAAAATTGTTTCAATCGACAACAATACTAGATTTAAGTTGTTTATAAAAGAAATCTTTTAGCCAAAGAGAACACAAATATTAATAAAAAATAAGTTTTACCTATCGATGTTTGTTAATTAAAATTTTCTGTTCTAATATTAATTTAAAAAACAGTAAACGAAATGATGTTGAACATTATGTCACTTTGAACAGACATGAATACCAGCAAATGTATTGCAAATCGTAATTTCAGCGATAGTAATTTGAAATCAGTGCAGTGGACCAGATTGATGGGCTGGATTCGGCATTTGACATTATGATTGTACTCGTACAACACGCCTGAATTATATCTTACATAATGCAGCTTACTTCTATACATTGAATTAAATTATTAATACAATTTGCGAGATATAAAATCTCACATAATTGAAAACAAAGTATATTCTATCTTATTTTATAGCTCGTAAATTATAAAGTAATTTTAATTTTTATAGTTAAGATTTTATTTAGTTATGTTAAAAGAATCTCAAAAATAAATCCTTTTTTCAGGAATAGAAAAACAAAGACTGTTATATACTTTAAGGAAACAGGAGATTAACAAACTCGCTTAGCTGAAGAGAGAATTAAAGAAATATTACGTCAATGTCATAGTAAGAAGAGCACGAACAATTAGAAAAAAAAAAAATAGTTCCTAAAGAAGACACTAAAACAACTCGATCCTTTCAACAAAAGACTTTACTGAAGATAAAAAATGCAATCAAAGCTGCCGTCATCAAATCACCTTGTGCTCCGGACAATCGCCTCGGCTACACTATTTTTACGCTAATCTTGGACGGCTGCCACGAAGCTTGCCCTCGTGCCCGTACATTAGAATTAACTTCAGCCGGGAAACGGTTGTTTTACCGCCAAATATCTTTTATAAACCGAATACTAAACAACACGTTAGTTTTAATACAAATCCAATGGAGTACAAATATCTGAATGAGATATGTTCAGAGCGTGCGACACAAATAAATTTCACAGCGCGAAGCTGAAAAACGTATCAGTCGAATCTATGATGGCGCCGTGAGCGTCTCGCTTCGGCCATGGTACGACTCAGATGGACGTTTACTCTAATTATAATACCTGTTATTCTCTTCGCGACAGTGATAACCGCATTCCGTATCCGTGATCTCCAAAAAAGTTCCCACGAAAGTGTTTCGGAGTTCAAAAAGAAACCAAAATGTGAAGAATGTGATGTGAATAAACTTGACCTTGATCATAAATTACATATTTACAAAACTGAAAGTGTTAAACGTTCTAATGAAGATTTTAACAAACATATTACTGAAAAGAAAAAAAATATCGAAGAAAAGACAATTGATAAAATAAAACCAGTGCTTGAAGAAATAGAGGAAGATAGTGAGGAAGATGAGGACGACGAGAACTTAATTTATCTACGTAATTTGGCTTCTAAATGGGAAGAGAAACAGAAATCTTCCAACGTCATAAGTGGAAAAGAATCTGGTAAAATAATTAGCAAGAAGAAAGAAATCGTTGTAAAAGATGATTTAAATAAAAATACTATTAAGGTAGATAGAAAAAAAGATAGCGAACACGAATACGATGATGATGACGATGATTACGATAATGATGATGTTGATGATGACTATGAAGGGGTAAGTGATAAGGGTCCTTTACGAAAGAAGACAACTGTTGGGGTTAGTAAAGAAAGAATCAATGACATAAAAGATATTGATAATGTTGACGACAAAGATGACGATGATGATGATGATGATGACGACGATGAAAGTGATAGTGACAACAGCGACTTTATGAATACTAAAGAAAAGCTCAAAGATAAGTTTACTAAAGTTAGTTTAGGTTCTCGAGAAGATAAGACACCTTTAAAGCATTTAAAAGTAGGAAAGTCAATTGGAAAAGATACAGCATTGCCAAAAGAAAAGAATCCAGATATATTTAAGACATCTGAAATTAAAAAAGAAGTCCACAGTAATATTGCAGAAGAGAAGACCAAGGTAAGGGCTATTAAAGAAAACAACGAAGAAGAATCAAAAGAAGTAGAAAATGTGCTTAAAGACGTAAAAATTAAGAAACCAAAGTCAGAAAAAGTTGTTGACAAACATAGTGTAAATAAAATACAGCCACAAGAACTTCCTCAAAGCGACAAAAGTGAGATTCATAAGGTTATTAAAGAAGTTAAGAAAGACACGAAACCAAAGATTGATGTCAAGAACAAACAAATTAAAGACCCAATAAAAATTGAAACTTCATCAAAAGAAATACACTTTGATGATTACAAAAATGAGAGTCGAGAAGACAGTCGATTAAAGCATATTACAGATGCTTTATTTAGAAGAAACCTTCTGAAAAGTGAATTCGAAGATTTTTATGCATTTCTACCGACTTTTGCGCCAAATTTTACACGCGTTCAAAATCCTGAGTGCAGGCGTCATGGACAAATACTTCTTAGACAATTACGCGGTGCAAAGCTATGGGCATTAAGTAGTAAGTAATTTTTTATCCAATTACAATTTATTAATCCCTTGCCTGATTATTATTTCCTTCTTAACTAAGTTAATAATATAATTTTGCTTAGAAATAGTATGAAGAACGGTTAAATCCTGAAAAAATTGACTTTTTGACATAATTGGATTTAGATTTATTTATATCCTTTTGTGTAACAACTTTTATGTAGACAAAAATACCGCAGAATATTAATGGTATAAAGTTAAGATTTATATCAAAAAAGAAAATAAGCTAAATAAGCCTTTGTGAGAAATTTTAAAACCACACGACCTTTGTTAATAATTCATCAGTCTCGAAGGACCATTATTATGTAGACATTGCTACATTCAAAGGTGTATGTTTTCAGTGCTCGACGCCACGGCCAAGATTCCCTCGGGAATACTCCACGGCAATGGCATTCAACTGGGCAGCTTCGACCAGTGCTTGGGGAGCCGTGCACGTGTTCAACTGGACACTGGGAGCATCGTAAAGGTCTACGGAAAGTACTGCTTAGCTCGCGTTGATCTGAAGTCTGAACATAAGGAAATGGAAATTCCCGTACATTTGGCGCAAGCTAAGAACTTGATCAAGAGTCGAATTGATGATGTGAGTATGAATTTTATACAAAGTATACTTAGGGGGTATTTCGTTAGGCTTAAAGATTATCTTTGTTCTTATAATGACTCGTTCAGCCAGGTCACTTTGTTCCGCGCTTCTCCACGTTGAGTTGGGGCGTGTGTGTACCCGCGCCCTGCAGCCCAGAAGACGTCGAGAATATAGTGAGAGATGCGATCAAGCATTACCAGTATACTAGTGGAGTATCCTTTAAAGTTAGAGTCGATGAACAAGATTGCCATGTACAGAAGAAACAAGCATGGTGGGAAGAATGGCTTGGAATTCCAACTCTTGTCACTTTGTAAGTTATGACTATATTCTATTCACTGATGTTTAATTTATTACGTAATTGTTAGTGTGTAATAATGAAATAAATATCCTGTTTTCAGAGCTTTGTACGGTGTGGTCGTTTTACTGGTGGTAGTTGCTACGGCGCAAGATTTCGTTGCAAGGCGAAATAATGAGGAAATCAATGACGAAGCGAAAGATGAAAGCGACCAAACAGAATCAAAAGATCAGACTGGCCAGCGGCCTGAAGGTAAGAATTTCATAGTTCATTTGTTTGTTAAGTACTGTTGGGCAGAATTTTCTTGTAAAATTTTGTTACAACATAATTTCTGTTAATTAAATGTATAGTTGCGCTTTCTGTAGGTGTCTAATTTTAAGATATAGTAGTATTTAGTCTATGGTTCCAGTTCAAGGTGGATTGTGAGTCATCCTGAGCAAATGATAGAAACACACGCAGTGAAATGATCAATAAGTGTTAATTGATTTATTACATTGTAAATACATTGAAATATCATTTTATAAACATTTTTTGCAAAACGTAATAAATAATTTATTTATCAACATGTCTAGACATCAAAACTCAATTCATTAAGATAGGTCTTGAATGATTTCTTACATCGTAGATTTTGTAGGCCGTTGAAAGACATATCTAATGCGTAATTAAAAGTAACTTATGTTTGAAACGTGATCGTTTCAATGAACCCAACATTGTTTATTGTTTCTTAATTACATCAATCCGTTCGGCTTCGGCCAGTAAATCAAATGATCACGGGTCACGAACGCCGTATCGAAAATTATGTCGCATGTCCATTGATTTCGAACGATTAGCGTACGTGACCGAGCCCAGTGCAATATTGCCCGGACCAGACTTGTATACGTAATTTATGTTAATTAACGTGTCATCGGTATTCGGAGTCGATTTGAATCGCAAACGGGCCGGAGCACCGCGACTCGTTGCCGAAACAAAGTGGGTTAAGGTCGAACGGATGTTTGGGGTTCAGCGATAATTTATGAAAATGCCTCGTTTCGTTAACAAAAACACTTTAAGCAAACAATGTACAAATTGAAATTAAGTTGATGTTAAATGTAATCAAACCATGGATATGACTCATAATTTATTTAATTAATGCAGCAACGCATCAGATATTTCGACTATTTAGGTTAATTTAAACAAATTCCTATACTAATGATTTAGGCATCACAAATATCGAAATATTAATTTTAGGTTAAGTTGAAATTGTTTTAATTTCACATGTTTGATGTAAACTAGTAATTTCTTAACTGATTATCTCCACTATTTTCTAGTTTCGTAGAAGTCGATAAGTTATTCATTAAATACCACTACCATACAATGTATTTACGGAAAAAATTAAGTCCTTCATCACCTCAACCTTTTCCACAAACAATTTTATACTTTCATTGCTTTCATAAGACACACTTGCAGCAAATTAATTAATCAAGTGGTAATTTTTGCAATAATGTAAAATCGTATGGCTAATTACGTCTTCGCCTGTCAAACTTTGAATAACAAATAAAAACGAAAATATAATTCATTTCACACTTGTGTTTGTGTTACGAAGTTTGTTTTCATAAACAAATTTGGTCGTTAGAAAACGACTAAGTTTCGAAGTCGATTTCTTTTCTAAATCAACGAGCGACGTAATTTGTTATGCAAATTGCCTCCGTCGACACTTCTGCCTCACGTCAAATTTAAGCATGACTTATTTCTTGATTTATTCTTGTTTATTTATGAGCTTTTTTCATCCGAAGCTTTTGAATCGAGTTCTTTCGAATTCTATATAATGGAATAACAAGGGCCGATTCTGCGCGCTGTGTGCCTAAAGAAAAAGATAAATATTTAAATTCAACCATTATGTTGATGGTTTATCCGCCTTTTAATTCGTCGTTCGTAATTCTTTGTGCGTATTCAGAATAATTGACCAAATTTAAATGGTTGAAAATTCACAACCTACAATTCTGTTTTCGGATTTCTATCAAAAGTAATTTCTAAATTAAATCTCGAATACAGTGACCGTAGCAACAAACTTATAACGTATTAATAACGACATTTAGTAGTCACTATATTTAATAAAAAAACATACACGCATTAATAACATAGAATACAATTGTAATATTCGAAAATAAAGAAATATTTCTTTCGTTTCAGGTGAGAGCGCAATCAGCGTGTTTTCGTTGTACCGCACCGTACGCAAGCTGGTGGCTCCTGCGACATCAGACGAGATCTCCTGCATCCACGGCGTGCGGGCCATTGCCACCATCGCCCTGCTCATTGCTCATAAGTTTCTACCCGTTGCTTCTACACCTTACACCAACAGGCTAATGATAACTGAGGTTTGTGAAATTGAAGGAGTGTGTTACTGATCAGTCTGTAAAAATGCACCTAAATGACTAATCTATTTTTCGTAACTGATATGTTAACTACCACATAATATACCAAAATTAATTACCATAGTTTTATTTGTCAGTAAATACGATACAGTGAAAAAATATCAAATATTCTTAAACGGTAATTTGATATTTAATTATGACAGGGGCTGAAATTAAGAAAACTACACGTACATGGTTTTTATTTATTGCTCATTAAATTACATCTGTCCCGGGATTTGAACGAAACTAGTTTGTAATTGTTTCGAAAAGGTTTAGAGGTCCTGGTAGGATACGTGCCGCTCATACTAAATTGACTAATTGGTGGTCAGCTTAAACTATGCGTTCGTTTTAAAATAAATGTACACCTGAATTCATAAATGAATCATCCATTTTGTTTAAATTCACCGCACAAATGATTAGGAAGGACATTTTTTTATTTTGTTATAAAAATTACAAATGTAGGAGTTTGTTGTTTATCAAAGTTCTGATTTTTCCTATCACAGAAAAATATTCTCAATTTAATTTGCGCGCAAACTATTTTGGTCTTGTCGAAGAAGTTGAGACAGCCTTATAGTTTTAAGGTCCTATTTGTAACATACTAGTATAAAGTTATCGTTTTCCAGTATCTCATCATGTAGCACAAATCCTGATTCTATAGCAATCCTCCCTATGGTCAGCGAACAACAACACATAAGTCAATATAAATCAAGAAACCAAAGCCTCATAAATAAGACTAAAACGTTGGATTATAACGAAAGACATCGCGCTTATGCTCTGAAACCTTGGATCGTCGCCAGATTGTTATTTGCCGTATCTGGCCCGTGCAACAAAATTGTGTTTGGCAATGCGAAAACTTTGTTTATCTGTGGAACTTCTAGTTTTTTGTTTATGTTAAACTGAACGGGCGAAAGCGAAAAAGTTTTGATTCTACTCTTTAATCTGACATCTGTAAGTATCGTAAAATACGTCGACGGATCCCAGTCGTCTGCCATCAAAGCCTGTCGTAACAATGAAGCCCGGCGATCATTGCTCGATACAGATAAAACATTTATACTTAATCTGGATTTAGACAACAGACAGTAAACTCTTTATTGGCATTTATACGACTACTTTTAGATCTTTACCTTGATTCATTCTGTTATCGTATTCTTTGTTATGTACTTATTAGTTTTAACGCCATTTTTTTTCTTTATACTTTCTGGTTTTACTCATTATTGATTCACTTCTTGAATAAACACCATCTTAAAAATATCTTCTAGATAATTATGTTCAAAGCGAACCAGTTATCGTGCTTATTTTTGTTCCATAATCAAAACACTAACCCGGTTTACGGAGTAATTTTATTAATTTAATGGCCAGTAATTCCGATGCGAATATGGTCGGTAATTGTATAGCTTGTAATAACTTTCTTATTCTGTGGTAGCGGCAGAGAATTAGCATGTGCAAATATACTGAAACACGATATGTTATAATATTTTAACATTAATATATGTCATAGAATTAATATTTATAAGATTAGCATGAAAATGAAATTATTTTTTATAGATGTAATCATATAAACTTAAATGATTTTTGACCGACTTCCCAAAAGAAGGAGGTATTCAATTCGTCGGTATATTTTTTTTTTTTTTTTTTTTTTTTTTTTTTTTTTTTTTT